ACTGACAACTCATTAGGCCCCCGGGCAATAGGGGATCATGGGGCCCCTGTGTCCTTGCCCAAACTCAAAAAAGCCTATGAAAAAGGTACCAGGGGCATCTCATGGGGCCCCCTACTGACCCCTGGCCCTCGGGCAGTGCCCGAGTTTCCAAATGGTCAGTCCACCCCTGACTGCACAGCAACATGCAGGGTTTACAGGATTTTTTAGAAAAATCAACACTATTACAGCATGCAACATTTCTATGAAAATCCATGGTATACCATTATATAGGAAGAAGGGTCAGCCACACACCGGAGGATAGATGAATATAGTGTGTATTTATTGATCCATAGGACACACAAAACACCAGGACACGAATACAGGACCTGTTAATGCGTTTTACACGATCTCGTGCTTAATCATTGCTACTACAGTGATAGCAGCAGTCTTCCAGGTCCAGTGCCAAGCGGCTGCCCTTCTGCAAATTAACCACACTGGGTTACTTACTTAGCACTGCTGCCTTTCAGAGAAAGCATTGTATTTTGTCAGTGAATACAAGGCCTCTCCATCTTGTCCAATCAGCGAATGCCTTGTCCTTGCTGAGCAAGTGACTGCCTGTTACTATGCATAAGGACTTGGCACTGGACGCGAAATACTGCTGCTATCTATGTACTACAGTGACTTGCAGCTTACAAAGGCATCAGTCAGGTATGAGATATGCATATTTACAGTGGTCCAAGCTGGACCGTTGTACCTATGCTATTAAAAGCATACCACAACTTCCACATGAAACAATAACTATATTTTGCCTCTGTGCAGTAGCTTCCTGTAATAAAGACTATCAGCTATGCTCTCTCTTCGTGCAGAATAACTGGTCTTGTAACCGTCCCCTCCTGTAGTTTTCTGTTACTGCTATCTAGGTTAACAAAGGCAGCTGGTGCACAAACAATTAATTTACATCTTTTGTGGCTGCTGAAGAATATATTTAAATGAAAATGTTTGTGCCTGGAGTTCAGATTTAATTTTAATGCTTAGGAAACTCACACTGACGATAACCCCACTTTTGTTGCAGATTCTTACTCTCTGAAAAAAATGCTGTTTGTTTCACTTGTCCTTTCCAGACTGATTCCTGATTGGGAGGGTCTGCTGTCATTACAATCACCTGAGCAAATCTCAGTGTTCTAATGAGGAAAGCTGCAAGGGTGTATAGCAGGGGTCTATAAACTGCAGCCCTAGGGCCAGATGTGGCCCTTTGCTAGCCTTTATCCGGCCCTTGGGGCACTATTCCTCCCAATGATATGAAGCAGTATTCATCCCACTGACACCAATGATGGGGCACTACTCTTCCTCCTACTGACCACCATCCCTGAGGCCATGTTTTTTCTCACTGATGCTGGGCCTGAAACATTTTCTACCCCCACTGGCAACACTTCGGCCCTCTTAAAGTCTGAAGGACCATAAACTGGCCCTTTGTTTAAAAAGTTTGGGGACCCCTGGTGTACAGAATGCCTCCAGGTTGGCATATTGCATTGAATTTGTTGCCAGTTTTAGAAAATTATTATCAGCTGCAGAATAAATTGGTAATTACCAAAGTGTGGCACTGTTTATATGTCTGTCCGTACCCCGATATGGGCAGCCAGTTATTAAATGACCTGAAGCTCAATAGACTATGAGAGCGCTCACCAGCCCCTCACAATTCATGGAGAACAAAAAACCGTCAGCTGCAAAGGCTTATGGAACCTGTATGAATTAATTCACCAAACTCTGTGGATGAATAACAGGGCTCATGTGGGCTGAGTCTCGCATGCCCGTGCTCTTTTCAAATTGAGACAGCCGAGTGCAGAGAGAAGATCCCCAGCCCGCTGTCATAGGGAGGGGGATAGATGCAGGAGTGGGAACATGTTACACCTTAAAAATGGGTGGAATATGTAACATGTTCCCAAAGGTGAACTTATCCTTTAAGTTTGGCATGGCTAAATGGTTGTAAATACATGTATGTATTCTATTTTGCAACATTTGTTTTCACTGTTAGCAGGGAAGCCAAAACATTGTTTCTGTACAAAGTCACATTAAAATTATGAGTACAAAATGCTCTGCTATTTGCTGTTCTTTCCTGATTTTATTCTCTTCTTATTATTACAATATAGCTGTAGGTTTAAAAAGCACAGTCTATTCAAAAAACGCTCTAGTCATTGCATTGTGACTGGAGAATCTGCTGTAAGTACAAAGTTCAAAACCAGACATCAATTACAGAGTTCACCTCACAGACTCATTATACTTCACCTTTTACCGTTCTCTTTGAGTTGTACATACAGTCAGGTCCATAAATATTGGGACATCGACACAATTCTAACATTTTTGGCTCTATACACCACCACAATGGATTTGAAATGAAATGAACAAGATGTGCTTTAACTGCAGACCGGTGAACGGTGTAGGAATTACAACAGTTTTCATATGTGCCTCCCACTTGTTAAGGGACCAAAAGTAATGGGACAATTGGCTTCTCAGCTGTTCCATGGCCAGGTGTGTGTTATTCCCTCATTATCCCAATTACAATGAGCAGATAAAAGGTCCAGAGTTCCTTTCAAGTGTGCTATTTGCATTTGGAATCTGTTGCTGTCAACTCTCAAGATGAGATCCAAAGAGCTGTCACTATCAGTGAAGCAAGCCATCATTAGGCTGAAAAAACAAAACAAACCCATCAGAGAGATAGCAAAAACATTAGGCGTGGCCAACACAACTGTTTGGAACATTCGTAAAAAGAAGGAACGCACCGGTGAGCTCAGCAACACCAAAAGACCCAGAAGACCACAGAAAACAACTGTGGTGGATGACCGAAGAATTCTTTCCCTGGTGAAGAAAACACCCTTCACAACAGTTGGCCAGATCAAGAACACTCTCCAGGAGGTCGGTGTATGTGTGTCAAAGTCAACAATCAAGAGAAGACTTCACCAGAGTGAATACAGAGGGTTCACCACAAGATGTAAACCATTGGTGAGCCTCAAAAACAGGAAGGCCAGATTAGAGTTTGCCAAACGACATCTAAAAAAGCCTTCACAGTTCTGGAACAACATCCTATGGACAGATGAGACCAAGATCAACTTGTACCAGAGTGATGGGAAGAGAAGAGTATGGAGAAGGAAAGGAACTGCTCATGATCCTAAGCATACCACCTCATCAGTGAAGCATGGTGGTGGTAGTGTCATGGTGTGGGCATGTATGGCTGCCAATGGAACTGGTTCTCTTGTATTTCTTGATGATGTGACTGCTGACAAAAGCAGCAGGATGAATTCTGAAGTGTTTCGGGCAATATTATCTGCTCATATTCAGCCAAATGCTTCAGAACTCATTGGACGCCGCTTCACAGTGCAGATGGACAGTGACCCAAAGCATACTGCCAAAGCAACCAAAGAGTTTTTTAAGGGAAAGAAGTGGAATGTTATGCAATGGCCAAGTCAATCACCTGACCTGAATCCGATTGAGCATGCATTTCACTTGCTGAAGACAAAACTGAAGGGAAAATGCCCCAAGAACAAGCAGGAACTGAAGACAGTTGCAGTAGAGGCCTGGCAGAGCATCCCCAGGGATGAAACCCAGCGTCTGGTGATGTCTATGCGTTCCAAACTTCAGGCTGTAATTGACTGCAAAGGATTTGCAACCAAGTATTAAAAACTGAAGTTTGATTTATGATTATTATTCTGTCCCATTACTTTTGGTCCCTTAACAAGTGGGAGGCACATATGCAAACTGTTGTAATTCCTACACCGTTCACCTGATTTGGATGTAAACGCCCTCAAATTAAAGCTGACAGTCTGCAGTTAAAGCACATCTTTTTCGTTTTATTTCAAATCCATTGTGGTGGTGTATAGAGCCAAAAATGTTAGAATTGTGTCAATGTCCCAATGTTTATGGAGCTGACTGTACATAATCTGTTTGCTTATATCAGGCAAGGGTAGAAGGAGCAAATTATGCGAGAGAGAATAAAGACCCCATTGTGAGTGTTTCTAAAGGTTAAATAACAAGGCTGATGGGGAAAAATGGAATAGAGGAATAATAGGGTTCTTGCCTATAGTAACCAGCCAGGCTTTATCCTTTTACCTTTCAATTTACAAAAGTAAACCGGGAATCTGGTTGCTCAGGGCCATGCATGTATAGGGCTGACCATACTTTTTTTTGTTCAGCCAGTAGGTTGATCAAAAAAAAGACCCAAATTCCTCCATCCGCACATTATGTCAATGGGGAAATCGTTCTTGCTGAGTTACTGGTATACTGAAAGCAGAGAGTTTCCACTGCTGCCAGAATACACTGATCAGTGCTGCCAGCTATAGCCAGCAGCGCTAAATGAACAGGAAAAAAATCCAACAGGCCGGTTGTACAGAAGTTACTTGGTAGATCGATTTTGCACAACCAGCCTGTTCATACATGGGCCCTGCTGAACTGGCCAAATTTCAAACCATGTACGGCTGCTTTAAGAGGCAAAAAAAATGCAGCTTAAAGAGTCTGCAAGCCTGGATGTCTGAGTAATGTCCCAACAGTGTAATAACAACACTTATTTTCTTACAGTATGACCTTTGTGCAATGAAACCACCTATGTTTGTACAGCATAAATGATAGGGAGATAATCAATAAGGTACTTCTTATGCTGTTAAACTTCTATTTTTGATTCGAACGTAGGACATTTTATTATCTCTGCACACTTGCCTCATAGTGACTGTTTTGGAACCAGAGTAACATTTTTTTTTTTTTTTTCTAAAATTTTAATGTTACCCATGAATATAAAAAGAAAAAGAGCAATATAAACATTTGTTAGCCTTAGCAACCAGTTCACTGAAATCTTATTGATTGCCATGAGTTATAGATTTTTGTACTCGTTAAGCACAATATTTTTAAGCCACTCAATAACTTATTAGGTGCACAGTGCTTTTACTTGACTTATTGTGCTGACTGCTAGTTACATCTAAAAGAGAGAAGCCTTTTCGTAAATTGAATTCAGTTCAATGCTGTCATTTTCCCTTTAGGTCCTATTCTGATATCCTTAAAGCCTGGTGTGAAAACGTCTCAGACAGATGTACCCAGTGAGGAGCCCAGATTGCCGGCTAAAGAGCCAAAGAAAATATATGAGGAAAAGGCTCCCACAAAGACACTCTGGGAAATAGAATACAAGACAGAGATTATCAGAGAAGACAGAGCAAAGAAGAGGGGCACAGAAAGAAGACTAGAATCTAGGAACTCCTTTATTGCCAATGGATTGGACTTGTTTGAATGTCCTCCACCTAAGACAGAAAACGAGGTATGGCTCATTTCACATGTATGGCTGTTAAAGCTATAGATTGTATGGGAAGTGTTTAAAGAATATGATATATGGTTTACCTTCTATTTAAATGCTGAGATAATTCATAACACATATATAAAATGGTAGCAAATGTCCAGAGTAACCTGATTCAGACTTCATTGTTTTAGGATAGTATGTATTTTACCTGAAATGAATATAATAAATTATGGGTATTTTTAGTAAACTTCCCCCTTTTACTCCAAGGCCCTCCACCAGCATGACTGCCAAGCCTCACACTTTCTGGGAGCCTCAAAGCCTATACTTATCTTTTAACTGACCTTCGCTGATAAACAAGTACCTGGCCATATAGGTCATAGAAAAGGTATTAGCTTACTTCCAAAGGAGACAGTGATTTAAAGCAACTCTAAAAAATACAAATTAAAGTATCCCCTAGCAAGAAGCTAAAGGGATTTTAGAGACTTAAGGTTATTTACCTTAATGCATTCTGTGCATTAAAGTTAAAAACCTTCTGTGCCAGAGGATCCCCCCCAACCTCCCCTTATACTTACCTGAGCCCGATCTTGATCAAGCGATGTGCATGAGAGCAGTGGCTCCTCTTGGCTTTCTCTCTCCTCAGTGGGCAGATTGATAACAGTGTGAACCATTGGCTCCTGCTTTTGGCAATTAAATTCTGTGACAAGGGAGCAGGGCTGAGTCTGTGTTTTTTGACGCAAACAAGGCGGCTTGGGAGTAAGCCCCCACAAGTGCTCCCAAAGGAGGCCGCTTTACTGTGGGCAGTAGCCAAAGAGGAGGAGTCAGGAGCACCAGCGGGGGAACCAAGAGGAGGTTGCCCTGTGCAATACTAGTACACAGAGCAGATAAGAATAACATGTTTATTATCTTAATAAAATGTTGAAGTTTTACTATCACTTTAATAATTGCTCGCCTCTCCTACCTCCAATGCGGCTGATCTCTGCTGTATTAAAGATAAACCATCACCCAACTATGACACTTCCAGAATTGTCAGATTTGTGGCCTCCCACTGTGCTCATTTTACTACCCTCTACATCATTACTGTGTCTTTTAGTGATGTAGGGGCTAGCAGGTGGGCAGGGGATACTTTAGTTTACATTTTTATTTCAGCATCTTAGTTCATTTAGGATCCTCCTGGGCCATTGCTTTCATTCTTCTGGCACTGGCTGGACGTTGCGGCTCTCCTGTTCCTCCAATGCTGGCATTTTCACAATAACACTGGGGAGGATTTCTGCTGCTTTTCACCATATTGTAATATTTATGTTTGATGCAGTTAAACCTTAGCAGCAATACATACGCCTGAATCTTCAGTTACTGCACTTACTACTACACTTACCTGCAAAATTTCAGGCCAGTCACTGAGAAAATGTGTTTAATTTGCATCAATGTTATGAAGCCTGCATGCTGCTTAGTCCCTGCCCCTTGCATATTTTTCCTTGATCCAGATCTGTCTATTAATAGTCTATTCTATTGCTCTCTGTCTGTGTATAAAAAGTTTAAGATGGCAGCCTTGTTGTATCTTATGTTTCATTCAGCAGTGATTGTGTGCTCCAACTTTGTAACAGTGTTATTTTTTTTTACTGTGCAGTTATTGCAAATGTTCTACAAACAACAGGAAGAAATCCGCAGATTACGGGAACAATTGACCCAAAGAGATATTCAGATTCGACAGCTCGAATTGGAAATCAAAAACGTCCGCAACAGCGCAGCCCCCTACTGACTCTACTCCACTCACAGGCAACAGAATGTAACTTTCAAAAATGCCTCCAGAAAACCATTACATTTTATTTTTATGTGAAAAGAAAAAACATAATTACCGGAAACCTACATGTGCACGGAATATTTATCATTGTTTGTTACCAGTATTTTTAATATAATTATTATTTTTTAATTTCAATCATTGTCAGTCCTAGTGGACTGCTAAGCCTATTCACCAAAGGTTGAGAAAACAGATGGGAAATAAAATGTCAGTGCACAGGTGAATTCCTAGCCTGCCTTTGAAAATCCAGTGGAGAAAATCGAGTACTCGTACAGTGATAGCTTGCTAATGCAATACAGTGCTAGGAATTTATTGACAAAAAAAAAAACATAATTTGCTTTCTGTGATTCAAAAATGTTAACTGGAAATCCATTCCTGTTGCTTTGCAGTAAGAAGAGGAGACTGGTAAAAGGCTTGCTGCATCATAACAAACAGTACTCTTTTTTTTTTTTAGAGTCACTGATATATACAGTTTATTTGTGTGACACCTATAATTTTATTTATCCAAAAACAATTGCACTGAAATTCAATAACGTGTGAGGTCCTCTTCACACCTTAGCACTTTGTTGCTCTGTGCTCACATGATTTCTGATGCACATTGATGTGCTTTGCAGTAAGGTAGCTAATTAGATTTTAATGTGCTGCCAACACACCATAATACAACAAAAATCATACCAGACCCTTAACATTTTGTAGTGCATGGCAGGTGTGTTGTGATGTATTTCAGTGCAGGTGCATTGCTTTCCCCAGTAACAGAGCATTACACTGTCATTCAACATGAATGCTTTGCCTGAAAACATTAAGATCCCTTTCACACAGGGCGGAATCCAGTTTGCTCAGCAGGGAATCTGTCCACTGATTACTTGCTGAGCAGAGTATCTTGGGGCAGATGACAGGACCGTGTCTGCTCAGTTCATACATAGAGGACACAGACAGAGCCTACTCTGCTCCATGGGTGGCTGGGAGTAAACTGACAGAGGAGTCTTCTCTCTGATCCGACTCGATGAAAGAGGATATATTCTCCTCAGTTTTTTCTTTTTTAGCAGACCGGATCAGATTGGAGGTAAGGGGGGTAAATAGACACAAGTCTGGTTACACCCGCCTGTCCATAGGGATACATGGACCATCTGATTAGGTCTGCCTGAAAAACTGTCAATAGTTACAGATCCATGATGATCCATGGGTTGGAATTCTTCTTAAATATTAGTGTAATTTGTAGACAAAAGATAAAACTCAGAGCTATACAGAATGAAAAGATATTTAATCTTGTCTGTTTTTGTGTGCACACCTTTGGAATAAACTATTACTTTCCATAAATGGTGATCCTGTTGCTGGAGGTGAAACATATCTCAGAAAACATCCTGCTTCCATAGGATCAGGGTATTGAGCTAGCCATCTCACATAATGCAGGTCTTTAAAGTGGAACTGCACTGCATCTGAGCACCACAAACCAAAAATGCTATTTAATTAATTGTTACCATTCAAAGCAAACTCACCCATCCATCCATGTCTCCATGCTTTCTTTTGCTGAGAAATAATTTTGAAAAATACCCCTGGCATTTCTGGCAGTAGCCATCTTGAGTAAGGGCAGATGATTCATGTAGCATTTACTTCCTGGAATCCATCTGCCCTTTGCTCAGTTATTGGCTGAGCTGAGAACCCTCCCTCCCCTCCTGAAGACTGCTAGGATGTATGACATCATTTGCCTAGGAACTGAAACCAGAAAATAAGAAAAAAAAGTTTAAAACCAGTAAATATGATGTACTTTCCTATCTATTTACTAATGCTAGCAGCATGAAGATTAAAAATAGTCCATGCTGATTGAGAGGGTGAAGTTCCACTTTAAAGCAGTAAACCTTTTTCAAATCATCCAGAAGTTGTAGGCAAATTTGTAGATATTAACCTTCATGGAGGGATACAAATGGATAACAAATGGATTAAAGGAAAGCAACAAAGCCACATAGCCCAATACTACGAGGGGCGTTCAAGTCAAACCAGGACTTTTGAGTTTATATAATAAAAAACACATTTCAAGTAGTGTAAACTGCATTTATTTTTCAACATACTCCTCTGCTACATATATACTCTTATCCCAGCATTTAATGCCTGGAAAGCTTTAGCATAGAAAGATTTGTCAGTACACCTGAACCATTCTAGGACAGCCTGCTTCACTGTGTCATCACTGTGTTTAGCGTTCCCATTTTTGAAATATCACGACAGGTTATGCATCGATTATCCAGGATCAGGCATTCCATGCACTGAATGTTCACAGGAATGACTGCTGTGGGCTGGGAACCACCACAGCCAGGATCGTCACTGATGGACGTACGGCCACCTTTGAAACATTTACACCATTTAAACATCTTACAGTGGCTGAGCGTCACATCACTGTACTGTGCTTAAAATCTTCTGTAGATATTGGTGGGTTTTATACCTTCGTTCACAAGAAACTTCATCACCACACACTGTTTCATGCAAGCACTAACATTGTTGTCTGCCATCTTGATTAACAGTCTTTTGACTGGCCCACAACATGTGCACTACCTATCAGTAATAGAATGCAAGTGTACAATCCAAACGCACACATTCATGCATTAAAAATGGCTGTGTGTATAAGTGGGTGCTGCAGCGACTGTCGGCTGGAACCCAACAGAATCAGCAAGGGAGAATGTCACCAGCACACCAAGGATCACCAATATGGGTCCAAAAGTTTTAATGAACAATCACATAGTTACAGCAAGGCAACTTTTCAGAGTCTCGCAGGCATGTGACAATGTTTGTGCTGGTGACATTCTCCCTCGCCTATCAGTAATAGGACACCCTTGCCACTTACTACTGCATGTAGTACCGTCACGCTAGCATCCCTTTTTATACCTGTAAAATTAAAAGTCCTGGTTTGACTTGAACACCCCTTGTATATACAGATAAATGTACGGTGACTGAAATATTGTGTATTTGTAAGCATCAACCTGTATACTACATCATCCTATTTTTTGCAAAGCAACTGTTAACTTAGTAATGGAGATTGAAATGTATTTACTACATTATCCTCTAGAACAAGTGAAGCAGCTGAAGAATATTTAGAAAATATATTACATTAGCATACTCACTAAGGCATGTACAGAAAGTGCTGTTAAACTGGACCTGTTCCTTACACAAGCGGCGTCTATATCCTATTTTCTAGCACCCACTGACATCACAAAGTTATAAAATATAATATGAATGTTTATTACAGCTAAGAATGTATTCTTTAATTGTGTGTTTTATTTTCGTAAAACATTTAAGAAAATTCATAGATTTTGTGTGTTACCATGTTAAAAGGTTACAAACACAAAAAAGGATGTTAAAAACATTTCAAAGACATAGTCTGGCTTTTTCACCATGACAACATGGAAGTTAAAACATATTTGAATGTGGAATTTTTAGATAAAAAATAGTTATTCACAATTCCTTTTTTTGTTAGGCTTGGAAGTGAAATAGACCAAGCAAGCCAATGCAGACTTCCATTGGCCTAGATAATGTTTAAAGTAATAATAAAACGGTATGACAGAAAAGGTACTGCATAATTGATGGCATTTATTTTAGTTGAATATTTTTATAGATAATGATAAAAATAGTTATATATATATATTTTTTTTTTTTTTGTTAAAGAAAATTAGTTTTTTCTTATATTTTTAATTGACATTATAAACACAATCTATGCAAAACAATGGGGAAAAAAACAATATCTGCCTGTATTTATTTTTAACTCCCTGTGATGAAATAAGTGTCAGTGTCAGTACACAATTTGTGATGGCAATCTAATATTACCGTTCCAAAAATTAGTATGATCATATTATTTATCAAATAAAAACAGATATTGGTATAATTTAAAGTAGATCTAAACACTAACTGTAGGACATTTAGTTAACTAAAGCACTGTGTATTGTAAACAATTGCTGTGGTATTGTTTTACTTAAATAGTTTGTTTTAATTTTTATTTCATCCTAAATTTATCTCGGTGCTGCTGATCTTCTGTAACCTCTTCCAGCCACTTTCTAATGGCTGCATATAATTGCTGTAGACTGGCTTCCTAATCGCGACTAAAGCGGACCATGCTTGTCCAATGTGTGTGTCGGCCTGGCTGCTTGTAATCTCCACCAGGGATGCTGTGACAGGGTGAAAATGCAGGAGCACTGTTGTTTGACAATGTGCCCCCATAACAGAAAGTGCCTAATCAAGGACTTCCATGGCAATATCACTAGTTGTCCTTTTAATAATAGTTGCAGATTTAAATATATTGAAAACCACTTTTGACATTACATTATCATTTAATAGCTGTGATTTTTTTTTTTTTAAATTGGATTTAACTCTCTATTGAAAGACAACTTTACTTTTACTAAAGGGCAATTGAATGTTATTAAAAAGGACCTTTCCCTTTCAATCAGCAGCTCTGTAGTTTTCTGTAAAATGCAATATGGCTACCTGGAGGTGTTCTACATACAGATGGTGTACAGATCGGCCCCCAGAAATTTCATTTCCTGCTTGTTTGATTGGCTCACTGATTTTCCCCGAATTCTGCTATAAGATACAAGACATATTTCTGGCATCACCTGCAAAAAAATGTCATTTTTGGTGATAAACTCCTGAATTGAAATCCTGTCTAAGGCTAGGTTCACACCTATGCAGCTTTCATTTGCATCCATTCTGCAGTGCTTTTTGTGGTGTGTTTTTGTGTTTTTGATGCATTTTGCAAGTTTGGTTTTTTTTTTCTATCTTGTTGCTGGGCAGATTAAACCGCAAAACGCTTCAAAACGCAATACGTGCTTTTCTACAGAGTCTCCATTGAAGTCTATAGAACCAAAATTGGAACTTTTTGCGGTTAAAAAAAGTCCCTGACCCTTTCCAAAAAACGCACATGCAGAGATGTGAACCTGTCCCATAGGAAATCATGTTAAATGGACTGCTGTTTGTTTCTGCAA